TATAATTTTGAATGATCTCATATCATTCTTTCTAACATGAGACAGCAGGGGATCACACTGTGGATGCCTCCCTCCCTCATTTTCTCATCAAAGGGAACTTGGGAAAATATTATTTTTTTAGATCTTTTCCAATCATTACTGTGAATAGGACAATTTTGTAAACTGAGTTTCCTGGACATTGTCACATGATTACAAAGAGATGATTGATAGACATAAAAAGACAGAAGAAAAAACACATTTGTTTCATTAATGTAAGTCAAAGACATGCAGACATCCTTAGATAAATATGTTACATTGATCAGGACACTACAACACACTCAGTGAAAGAAGATGCCATCAAGATCCCATAGAGATGCACAGCTACCCATGATTGACATAAAGATTCCAATTCGTTCTTCAAGGAGCTCCTGTTTACCATTCACTCTGGCAGTCTTAATCTCTTCTGCACCTTTTCCAGTTGCTTTGGAGATTTCAGGCATGTGTTTTTCTACTAACCAGGTGCAAGTATCAGGTAAGACCACAGGAAATTCCTAAATGTTTCCTGGGAGACTGGCTGGATCAAGGCTCCTTTTTCCAAGCATTCCAGCACTCTGGTCAGCTTCAGGCCTACCTTAACGTAAGCTCTATGCCTGTACGTCCCCAACCCAGACAGACCAACTAAATTATAATAATCATCCCAGGAGATGTTTACCAGGTACAACATATAGAAAGTTCACAGTGCTTTCTTTCTTAATTTTTCTCACAGCTTTCCTATGATGTGTCTTCTACCCTCGTGCACAGATAAGGACAAGAAATGCAGCCACAGAGCCATGCCTGAGGTTTGATTTGTTCTATAGGACTTGTCCCTTCAGCTGTCAGAGCCTTGGGTTATCTCTGTTGTGTGTGGGAGACGCACCCTCTGGGTGGGGAGGTCACCTGCTGTCTAGGTAGGAAACAGCCAGCCCAGGAGCTGAAAAGGCCTGTAAGGATTCTGCCCACAGACAGGTCCCTGGAAATTGATGGGCTTGAAGTAAGACCTGAAAAGGCAAAGGGAGGAACATCCCCTTGCCCCCGGGGAAAATAAAAACTGCTTTACACGTGCCGGGCATCCCTGGAATGGATTTTTAATCAACAACAGTTCTCATTTAGTCCAAGAGGGAGCCAATGAATAGACTAATACTACTGACTGACATTACGGCCCATTCGTCTGTTTAAGTTGTTTGAAATTTTCAGCTGCCAGCAAAGGATTAATATTGATTTTCATGCTGTCTTCGTTAAATACCTGCTATAGAGTACCACTCTCTTAGTCTCCTTGCCAACTCTTCTTCCCCCAGTTATCACTAGCATTAAAATGAAACCTACCTATTATTAAATCAATCATGCCTGGCAAAACTATTCAAAAAGAAGGGAACATCCATCATCTTTACCATCAACATGAAGCCCGTAGTTTTTTGTTTTTTTTTTTCTTTTTGTTGGTCAACCTGGAATTGCTGGAACAATGAATTAAAATTTCCTTACAGAACTAATGTAAGAAACTGAAAGTGAAATGTGTCTGTGAAAGGACAGTGAATGCAAGAGGAGGCAAATTCTAGCATTTTGATAGATGCAGCAGTATGTTTTTACCTTGAGCTGCTACCAGCTCAAACTATGAGGCTAGACTGCTATGTTTGACTGTAGGAGAACTGGTGTTTGAAATCTGGGCTCTGTGAATGGCATATGTGAGCTTCTACATAGTTTTGGTGAGCATATGACCGTTTTTTGCCCACATTCTGTGGTTTTGCCTTTCCACTTTCAATTTGCCCAAAGATGTCAGCCTTAATATTTCTCATCTTTGCATCTCTCCACATCTCTAGGCAGAGAGTTCTGCCTGAACAGTCCCAGTCTTGTGCTCCTGGCAAACTCCTGCTCACTCTCCAAGACAATCCCTCAATTCCTCTGCAAAGCAACCCCAAATCAACCTGGGTCAACTGAAGACCCCTTGAAGGTGACCTCACTGTCCCACGTTCAAACTCGTGGCATAGTCCTCACCATGTCAGATCACCCTCTACAAAGCTACGAACACACTGAAGGCAGGAGTGGTCCCTCATTTTAGGTTTGAAACTCCAGCAGGAGGTTGTTGAAAAATTGGACAGAGTAGAAGCATGATGAATATTTACTGAATGAATGAATAAATGAAGAAGTGTATGGTTAGAAACATATGGTTCCCATGTGGTTTTCTTATGCCAAAGATGCATTTTCTGAGTATTTAAAAGGCCCTACAGCAAAATGGCTACTAAGACTTTAGGATGTAAAGTCAGACTTCCCTATTTTGAAATCAAGGTCACTTATTAGCTGTGACTTTGGGAAAATGCTAAACAATAGCTACAGTGTTATTCAACTGGACCTCAACTTCCTGATTTGTAAACTGAAGTTAGTAATAGTCCTCAGTAGGGTAGATGTGTGGATTAAACAAGAAAATCCAAGCAGAGACTTTAGCATAATGTCTGATGCATGTAGTGAACACCCAGCAGTTATTCCCAATAGAAAGCTTTGCAGTAACTTTGCTGCATGTTTTAGGAAATGCATCTTTCATATGGCCATAGAACTTATATGATGCTCACCCGGCCAATATCCGAAATGAGATCATGCATTATATGGGGATAATTAGTACAAATTAATTCCTTAAAGCAACAAAATGGACTCATTTAGGAAGTTCCTTTTGACGATTAATTACTGACTACTTATTACATACTTACCATACATAGCTCTGTGTATTCAGAGGTGAATGGTCCACGGCCCCAGCCCTAAGGGAACATATAGTTTCTAAAGAGACTGTTGTACCACTACATGGAATGGGTTAGAAAGTTAGGAGATTGGGATATAGGTTACTTGATATCTTCTCTCGTTTACATGTGAGCCCAGGCAATGTTTACAATACGGATTTGTACTTTGTGAGCTCTATAGTGCAGTACCACTAAATAAATCCAGGAGCACTAACTTAAGGCATTATAATGACCACTGAAATGATCCATAACAAATTATAAGGACTCCCTAGTAGTTTAACCATCACAATCTCTACATCATAAGAATGGTTATAAAGAATGGCATGAAAATAAGTGTTCCCTGTACTATCACAGTACCAGAACACACCGCATGCTTTCCTAAGAATATAGATACAGAAAACCCAAGGATGTTCTAAGGAGGCTTTACTGCCTATGATAAATTAATGATTTAACTCAATGTGAATGGAGTTAAACCTACATTTTTAAAATAGTTAATATTTCAAATAATAACTAAAATGTAACATGTTTTTCCTCTTACTTCCCCTGCCTTGGGCTCCATTCTTGGTGGCATTGTGATAATCGCTTGAGGATATATGGCTCCTAAAGCAGGCTTATTACTCCGTCCTCTGCTAGGAGTCATCATGAATGAGGGTAAAGAGAAAACAAAGGCCTCAGGAATGTAGTGGCACCTTTCTACACCACTGACAGAATGAGAATGTACTTACAAAGATGCTAAGCAAAACTCTGTCTCATAACCCATTTACCATTAACTTTTTATGGTCAAATTAAAGATGTGCTCAGGTGTGCATGTTAAAAACATTCAGAGGTTTGAAAACCTGCAATCCCCAATCATATATAGACAGACAATTCTTATGTTCAGGTAGGATTCCTATCTAACACATACCGGTATGTTTTCGCTAACGATGAGGACAGCATTTTATTTGGCTTGAAGAGCAAGTTGAATGCAGGCAGATTTGAGTCTAGTGCAATGGACTGAAATCTGAAAGGACACCAGCCCTGCCAGCTTAACTGGACTTGACCTCTGTCGGGAGGCAGCATCCAAGCCTGGTATATATCCCCACTACTAGAGTTTCCTGGGTATCTTCTCGCTTGGCAACCTCCATCCTCTCCTTTTTTCACTCTAGTACTTACTGGAATCTGTTGACTTTTAGCTCTACCTAAAGTGTTTTGTTGTTGTTGTTGTTGTTGTTAAAAAAAGAAAAAGAAAAAAAAGCTTAGGAAGCAGCTGCCTAAGGATAGGATGAATGAAAGCTACCCCAAAAGTTATCTCCAATAAGTCATAACCAGGTATGTCCTCCCTGATGCTCCTAAATGTAAATTTCTCATTTGTCATCTTATGAAAGTCACTGTTCTTATGCCTATTACTTTTATCCCCAAATAGGAGGATTACCTATTGTGAGAATAGATAAAAAAGTTAGAAGTAATTCCCTCTGTGTTTCATCTATTTATCCAAAGACAAAAACAAAAAAAGGAGAAGTCATTGAACATGTACCATTCATATGTAACTATGGTGGACAGAGAGATGAAACAACAGATGCTTAACCACAAGGAGCTTACAAACAAAGAAAGACAACTATTGCAAACAATTACACTGTTCACCTATCTGGGATAAACTGATACTAAAATCATAGGCATAATGATAACTCATTTAATTTCCCAGACAAACCTTTGTTGAAACGATTGTTTTCCTCATTTAGAAGACAAGGGCATCGAGGCTCAGAAATGTTAGGTGACTTGTTTAAATTGTGAAAACACAGCAGTACCGCTGGGTTTTCGATCCATGCTCCAGCTTATAAACTGTCCTGTATTGTGTTTGTTTAGGGGTCATGTCCTGCTAGGTAGTCAAGGGAATCATCATGGAAAGGAGAGGTTTAAATTGGTCCTTAAGAGATGGGCTGCATCTTTTTCTTTCTCCAAGCTTATTGTGATATAACTGACATATTGTATAGGTTGAAGATGTACAAGATGATAATTGGGCATGTAAATATATTGTAAATGATTATGTCAGTAAGGTTAGTTAACACATCTATCAACTCGCATAGTTAGCTGTGTGTGTGGGAAGGGGAGTACATTTAAAATCTACTCTCAGCAATGCTCAGGTATACAAAACAATATTATTAACTATAGTCATTACTATGCCAAGTGAAATAAGTCAGACAGAGAAAGACAAATACTCTATGATCTCACTTATACTTGGAATCTTAAAAAGCTGAACTCCTAGAAACAGAGTAGACTGGTGGTTACCAGAGGCTGAGGGTTACATCTTAATGATTTCCAAGAAGATGGAATAGTATGAGCAAAAAGGCTCAGAAGTGAGTTGGTCTACCTAGTGCTCTAGGAAAAGTGAGTTTTTCTGTTTGGCTGGGATATACAGTATGTATAGAAGGTAGCAGAAATATAGAATCAAAAAGGTAGCTTGGATTCAGATATAATAGGATTTGAGAAACTAACAAGTCAGATTATTTTCTTTAGCAGTAAGACACTATTACATTTCCTTTCGTCCTTACTGCTGTCCCAAAGGCATTCTTTCTGATTTAAGAATTCGTGTGTGAAGAAGAGGATAAAATGGGTGAGCAAAACACTGCATGAAAGAGTGTATAATCCCACCACTGATAAAGCCCACCCCCACCACTAGCTCCAATAATTGATTTGCAACTCCAGTTCTTAAAATGACTTGCTTAGCAGCTACAGCTACTTTCGTATTTACTTTTTCTTTTCCTTCCAATTGCTATAGTTACCAATCATCCAAAGGAAGTGATGAAGTTTCATTCCAAATTTAGCAAGTAAAAGAGTAAGTAAATAAATTAATTGAGGATAAATAGAGAGACAATTATAAAGAATGTTAGGCCCAATTTGATATATTTACATATCAGTTTTAAGTAATCACTTCCATATCTATTTAAATATTATTAATTCTTTCTGAAACATCTTGAATACCCTGAATAAAAATTGGAAAGTATTATTATGTCTGTTGAAGACCTTACGTATTATAGAGTTCAACATTCAGGATCTTTTTGCAGTGGTTACTAGCTTAGGGTATTAGCCTATGTCCGATCTATATTAGCTGAGATGTAGAAAGTCTAATTGCATAGTCACTATGGTAGGCCATGGTGGACAATGACTATATAGCCATGGCATTTCTCCCTACCTCTCCATTTATCTTCCTCCTAATGCTTAAGTGTAACTACTTATACTAAACTACATAATTAAGTAGACCCCAATTTCTCCCACATCATCGTTTCAACAGAGGTCAGACAAATACTACTTTTAAAGTTGCTTTTTTCTTTTGTATGGCAGGAAATGATATTATTGAGGTAATTTGGAGAGGAAGGAAAACTTCCCAGCTTTCATCATTACTTTGGAGACAGGAGTACAAAGGGAAAGAAGAGGTGAGTAATAATTCTAACACTCATTACACAGTTAGAGTTACCTACAGAGTAGACAGTTACCTACAGAGCATTGGCTGAGGGACCCAAATATCCCCCTGACTAGGCACTGAAATTCCCACAGTTACAAGTTCTCCTTATGGGTCTTTAGAAATCCTTTGAATCTTTACTGTTTGAAGCATTATATTTACAGGAAGATAATAATGAATAATTAAAACATCAAAAGAGGACATTTCATCTAAAAAGTACACTACCATTCATTGTCATACACAAGAAACCATTAAGAATGACACTCAGAAGGGAGCCATTCTGATGGTCAGGAAGAAGGTAGTTTGAGGAGAGCATCAGCATTCTACCAGTGGTGTGTGCGTGTGTGTGTGTGTGTGTGTGTTTGTGTGTGTGTGTGTGTTGGAGCAGATAGAAACAAAATGAGTAGTGCTTTCAATGAAGCATAGAAGTATATGTCAGGATGAGATTAGATGAGCAGGAAACTTAATAGTAAAGAAAATAAGAGAAGATGGGAAAAGGGAACAAGAGGAGGCAGAGAGAGCCTTGAGCCAGATCATGATGTAGGTCTAACACCTGTGGAAGCAGAGAGTGAAGAAAGGAAGATCGTATAGGAAAAATTATGGACTATAATGGGTCCCAAGAGGGATTTGGCCAGGCCAAGTGGGAAGCCCTTGAGCCAAAGTCACTATATCAGGAGTTCTACGTGTCACAGGAATAGACCACCTTTTTAACCTCTCTGGGATCAGGCATAGGCTGGGAGCAGCCAGCCAAGGGTGGGGCTTCGGTGCTTGGTTGGTCCAGAGTGGTAGCAGCTAGGGCCCGGTAGTCAATTATGCTCTCTGATATGAGTGGTACGTTTTCATGGCCACCACAGGTAGCAATTTTAAACATTAGCATTTTGTATACATATTTGCCTCTCAAAATGATTAGGTGGACTATAACCAGAAAACAGTTTATGATGTCGATTAATCATTTCCGTTACATAAGGCATTTACTTGGTTTCTATGTTACATATAACTAAATCTTTTTATGATGTAAAAATAAATTAAACATGTAATGTCATTTTTGAATTCGAACCATTTGTTTTCAGGGGCATCACAGAATCCAGGGTGTAACAACTGTTCTCAACATATTCATACTTCAACACATTCCTGGGGAAGCAAATCCCCCATCACTAACAGTGACTTCCATGGCAGTGATTCTCAGCCCTTATGCCACAGATACTCCTTGGGTATGACGTCATTATTTCCAAGTTGGCACATCATGGGATACTTTGAAGTCTAGTATGCATCACATCACCACCAAGGTGTGTGATGTATACTGGTATACGTGGCATATACACAAGGTACAGTGGCTTTGCCTGCATTTGTAAGAAACTTCCAAGGTCAGTGCACATCTGTGCTGAGGATCACTGCTTTAGGGAAGAGGTTCTCAGGTTTGAATATGCATAAAAATGGGAGAGGGGGAGGCTTGTGAAAAACAGATCTGTTTCAGTAGGACTGGACTATGTCCTATTAATGAGCATTTTTAGTGAGCAACCTGGGTGATTCTATGATTTCAGATAGGCCACAGAAATATATTTCCAGAAACATTAAATCAGGGCCATAATCGGCTATCCTTAATTTATAATGAGTCAAAAGTCATTTAGACTCAATGGAGCCATGCAGCAGAAAGGGGGTGGGGTGGGAAGGCAGGGTGCAGAGTGAGGGCACATTAGATGGAGAAATAGCAAGATGGTAAGACAGAGGGGATGGGGAAAACCAAATAGTGGAGAAATATGTATGATCTATATATCTATATCCATCAATCTATTCACAAATCTTATCATCAATTTCATCAGGAAAACCTATTTAATTTTATATAACTGAAATGATGCACCCAAAAAGTAGTTTTTATTATTTTACAGCTTAGTGTTCTATTTGCCTCTCGACTACAGTCATGAAATATATACATATACAAATGTATATCATTATATATACAATTTGTGTGCGTGTGCATACACACACACTGTTTTCTTAGGTCTTCTTAGCTTTTCCTTTTTTTTTTTTTGGAAGTTTATTTATTTTGAGAGAGACAGAGACAGCATGAGTGGGGGAGTGCCAGAAAGAGGAAGAGAGAGAATCCCCAACACGTTCCGTGCTGCTAGCACAGAGCCCCTGTAAGGCTTGAGCCCACGAAGCTCTGAGATCATGACCTGAGCTGGAATCAAGAGTCAGACGACGCTTAACTGACTGAGCTACCGAGGCACCCCAGCTTTATTTTTGAAATAAAAGAATGGTACTTATCTTGCACATATATCACATATTACAATATATCATACATCTGATCATTTATATTCTTTCTTTCTCTCTCTCTCTCTTTTAGTGAGAGAGAGGAAGAAGTGGAGGGAGGGGGAGGGAGAGAGCAAGAGAGAGAGAGAGAAAGGGAGAGAGAGAGAGGGAGAGAGAGAGAGGGAATCTTGACTCAGCACAGAGCCAGAGGCAAGGCTTGATCCCCTGACTCTGGGCTCATGGCCTGAGCTGAAGCCAAGAGTCCAACGCTCAACCAACTGAGCCACCCAGGCACTCCCACAGTCTATAATTATAAAGTAGAAGGCAAGAGCCATGATTATTGTGCAGTTACCCGTGCAATTACAATATTAACGTAAATGCAGCCTTTTCCTTATTCTACAGTTTTCAAACTATAAATCAAATATGAATGCCTGATGAAAAGCTGAGGCTAGGAAGTAGGTGATGACAAACCATTTTACAGGGCGGGGCAAACATTTATTTTTATTTTTTTGTTTCTATGTTATTTCCAAGCACCGTTTTGAATATCGATACAGAAAACAATGCCATCTATATCCTGCATGGTGAAAGTATTATGTTTCTGCGGTCCTTGGCTTGCATCCCTGTTGTCATCACCTAGCTGATATTATTGTGACATTTTGACACTGCATTGTGACACAGTGACCTGATGCCTCCAGCATCCTAGAAGGACAAGTTGACTAAGGCACATGGGGCATTAGGAAGCAGTGAAGCAGTTCATTACTGCTACAGAGAGAAAGTCTGCTCTGGAGACAAGAATTCTTATCTAAGGCACAAGACGCTCTCGATTCTGTTTCCTGCTCTGCTACTGATTTACTCTGAGATCTGTGACATACAATTTTAATTCATGGGTACCTCGGTTTTTCTGTCTGTATAATGAAAATGACCCAAACATAGATGATTTTTTCCCCTTAATCCGAAGAGAGTGATTGTGTTTGCAGCCCATTCTCGGTAAACAGAAATGTTGGAAAAGTGCATTTTGAGGGACTAAATTAAATGAGGACAGGTAAGTGACTTCAGTACTGTCATAGATTGAGGAGAACAATTTAGTGCCTAGACTCGCTCGCATCTGGGCCCTGTCTTACAGAAACGTCCCCCGTGACAGTCCAGCCACGAAATGCTTCTTTGGTCTTTGTTTAACATTAAAATTTGCTCCTTCCATCTTAACAGTAGCAAGTTGCCTCCCTCTTTGTGGCATCACACATCCCACTCTGTTCAAAATTCCACCCAATAGACATTCTCTGATAATACACGGCCTTTTTCATTGTCTTGAAACGATGATCATTTGGTGCCGACAAGGGCTTGTCTTGGAAATCCTGTAAGAAGTTCAGAAGGAAGAGCTGCCTTCCCGAGTTATGGCTTTTCTCAAGTGCCTACTGCTTGGGCTCATGACCTACTTTGCAGACTTGCCTGCGGGCTTGAAGCCCATGCCTTCTCAGGCCATCTGTGAGCGGACACATCTTGGAGCCCCCAGTTCTTTAAGAAGCAAATGCTCTCAGTTAGATAAAGCCCTGTCGCTAATAAAATGTCCATCTATTTTACAGCAAGTAGCAGAGCTGAATCTCAGACAGTCTGTTTCCCAGAATTTCAGAGGCAGGGTAATGAGCCATGGGGGTGGGTAACCACAGCCGGAATTCTGTAATCAAGCCACAAGGGGGCAGGGGTACATGTCCACCTGCCCCGTTAGCCAGGCGAACCTGGTGTAAGCTATGTTTTCATAGCCTTGTTTGTTTTCTTAGCTATCCTGAGAGCATACAAATAAGTATAGGCACAGAAGAAAGGAAAAATGGGATTAAATACCAGGGAAAGTCATTAAAGTTAAAGAATGGGATAAGCCTCACAACTATTTCCAAAGCGTAGCTATTTCCTGTCCAAAGCCAAGTTCCCTTTATTTTGTAAAATATGAGTAAAATAAAGGCAAAAGCATGCTTATTCCCTTGGTGCCCTGTATTAGGCAAGTCCTACTAGCCGCAGAGTTTGATGAGATGAATTGCTGGATGCCTCATAACCCTTTCCTCTTTAACATACAAACAATATCTAGTTATTTTTAAAGGGGCTCTGGTACATGCTTCTTACTACTCAAAACTCGCTAGTTCCAATCACAACAGCAAAAACAAGAACAGCAGGAAAAAGCAAATAAACAACAACAAGAAAAACAACAACAAATGGATTCTTACAAGAAAACATTGCAGAGCCCCGCTGTCACTGATAGAGTAACACTTATTAAGGGAAAGGCTGACTCTTGACTTTTTTATTATTATTATTTTTTCAATCTCTATTTATTCTTGAGAGGGGGGGAAGGAGGGAGGGAGGGAGTGGGGGAGGGGTAGAGAGAGAAAGGGAGACACAGAATCCAAAGCAGGCTCCAGGCTTAGAGTTGTCAGCAGAGTCTGACGTGGGGCTTGAACTCACTAACCCTGGGATCATGACCTCAGCCGAAATCAGATGCTTAACCAACTGAGCCACCCAGGCGCTCCATTGACTTTTTATACCCAGAATAACTAGGATATGTCACAATGTAAGATACATTGGTCATGAAAAAAAGTTCATTATGAAAAATTCAAGAGGACAGATTCCACTCCATTGGTAACAATTTATACATTCCAGGATAAAACTGTGTCCGTTGACTTTTTAATGTATTTCTTTTTTATATTTATTTATCTTTTAAATTATACTGAATATAATAAACACTCATTAATTCACTACCCGGAATAAAACAGATAGATATTAACAATTTGCTACCTGTAGTGCTCCAGTGTGCTACATCTTATCTTTTTCTTTCTTTTTTCTTAGGAAACAATATATTACAGCTACAGCTAAAAACCCTTACCTGCTTCCTTTTCTTCCTCTCTCTCCCCTCCCAAAGGAAGTCATTCCCTGGCTTGGTGAGAATCATTCCTATTCAAGGCAATGCCTGTACATGCACACAGCAAAAGTATGGAAACACCCTAACTGTCCCTGGACAGCAGAATGGATAAATAGATTGGTTCGGTCATGAAATATAATACTATTTAGTAGTTAAATAATGGATAAATCTAAAAAAAAATACTACTAAATAGGAAAAAAGCAAGCCGCAAAAGGATACAAAAAATATACCGTTCATGCAAATTTTAAAAGCATACATCAATAACATAAATCATTTATGAATACCTATAAATGTAGCAATAATACAACAAATATGAATGTGTTTATTTTTCAGTGTAATGCGCAATATTCTTTTATTTGATGTATGTGCTTTGCAAAGATGCTATGTACTGTCTAGAGGCCAAGGGCAGGCTGCCCCAAGATGGGCTACTTTGGCGTGAATATTATTTTGAGTTAAAAGCAATCAAACCCCAGCAGATTAGGGAAAAGCCGTTTACCTCCCGCTTAACTGCTGGCTTGTACCAGGTTAACAGATTCCTCTTTACCTAAAAAAGTTATCTGCATAATAGGGCAACCTTTGTTTTCCAAACATCTCCTCTCACCTTCCTGCTGATGGCCTTCTTCCTTCTGTAGCCTCAGACACCCGGACACCTATCCCTCTTCTTAGCTTATAGAAGCATCACGTTGCCTCATGGTCTTTACAATTTCCATGTTTCTGTGGATTCCCCATAAATAAGCTACTAAATTTGATTTGCTCCTGTTAATCTGTTTCGGGTCTATTTGATTCTTAGCCCAGCTAGAAGGGCCTTGAAGGGCAAAGTAAGTTCTTCGTCCCCAACCACCGCTATAGACTGAATGCTTGATCTTCCCCAAATTCCTATATGGAAACCTTACTCTCCAATGTGATGACATTTGAAGGTGGAACCTCTGAGAGGTGATTATTCAGAGCCCTCATGAATGGGATTTACTGTCCTTACGAGAGAGGCAGAAATTCCTCACCCTTTCTATGGACACTGCAAAAATATGACAATCTATGAACCAGGAAGTGGGCCCTCACCACACACGGAAGCTACTAGCACCTTGCTCTTGGACCTCCAGCCTCTGAAACTGTGAGAAACAAATTTTCATTGTTTATAAGCCACTCAGTCTATCGTCTTTTGTTATAACCTGAATAGTCTAAGAGATGTACTCTGACAGGCACTGTAGAAGAAAATACGTGTGTGATTTAGGATGTCTACCCTCTAGCTTGGACAATAAGATTAAGTAGAAAGTGACAACATGAGGGTTGTCTCAGCAGGTGATGTGGTATTCGGTAACTATTGCTGAGTATTATTACCCCATTTAATAGATAAGAAAACTGAGGCTTAACTAAATTAAGGAATATATCCCAAATCAGTGTGCAAAGACTGGATTTACCTGACTCCAGCCTGCTGCTTTAACAACATCTTACTGTGCTCATTGTACCTATTTGTTAATTGTTGTGAGGAAAGAAGGGTTTTGCTTTAAAAAAAAAAATACTGACTAAATCTTTCAGGACAAAAGACAATGCTGTAGGGAGAGAAAACAGATCAACAGTTGCCAAGGACGGGGGTGAGGACTGCCTATAAAGCGGTTCAAGAGATTTGATGGGTAATGTAAATGTTCTTTATCTGGACTGTGGTTTCCTTTGTCAAAACTCATAGAATTGTAGACTAAAAGGGATGGATTTTATTCAATCTAAACCACACTTGAATAAACCTGATGTAAAAAGGCAACAGGAAAAATTAATCTCCAGCAAACAAAAATTTCCAAAGGCTCATGGATAGACACCCGTGCTGGGTCCAAAGGCACTTTTATCTTTACCGTGGTTGGCAATTAATTCCCGGTAAAATGTTTGGAGAGAATTTCAGAGAGGAGTCCTAGGTCGGTGCCCACGAAGTCAAAATCTGCCTGCATCTATTGCAGCTTCTGTTTGAAAAACCAAGCAAGCTGGGCCCGCTTAAGTAAGACCTTTCCTTTTGTTGAAGGTGGAAAAGAGAGGTCATCCGAGGAGCCATGCAGTGGTTATCCACGGAGCCCTTCCCGTTGAGCGGGCCTCAGGTGTCCAGACGGTTATTGCTGCGGAGGAGGGCAGGTGCCCACGCCCCCGGGAGCCACGCACCGCGCACCTGAGCTGCCCTCTCCCAGGCGCGGTCCCTGCAGATCGAACACTGCAAAGCACATGCATCTTGTGGGAGGAAGGAGGGAAGCCTCTCTAATCTGCAGCCTGAATATCTCGCAGCACAGCCCTTGAACTTGGCACTTTGCATCCTCTGATGATTGCTGGGACACAGGCAGAAAGACAATGCGGGAAGCAATTTAATCAAGGCAGTCGGAGCGATCCGCCACAGAATAAACCACCGCTGTACAGCCCCGGATTTTTGGTCTTCCTCCCTGAAAGCTGCCTTCCTTTGTAATGCTGGTTGAGGGGAGTCGCTGCTTCTTTGAGTCAGTTGTAGAACCCAGCAGGAGAAGATATTAACAAGCTTAAAAGGTATTACCTGCCTCGCCATACCAGGAGGCTTGCGCGACTGTCGGGGCTCCACGCATTTCTTGTACTTTCCTGGGGGAATTAGTTAAAATTGCCAAGGTGGAAAGTATTTGATTTAGATTAATCTCACTTTGCCAGGCCGGAGAGCCTCATTACTCTGATTGGCTGACCTAGCCATGCCGCCCCCTGTTTCTCAACGAAGCTGGAAGAAGCTTCTGGGTCAAAGCTCTTGATGGATAAGTAAAATGGGTTATTATCACCCTTTCATGAAACCCATAAGAAGCAGAGAAAGAACTGGAGAGCCAAGCCAATGGAAGCGGTGGTGAACCTGCAGCATTTCACCGGTCTCTGGCAGGTCCAGAAACGACAAGAAGAAATACACAGTTCCCACCGCTGCTTTGTGCATTCATTCATCCAGGACTCCCAGCCGAGGGCGGGGATGTGTTAGGAACAGCTAAAATCAGCCGGGGAAAAGCCTCCCTTAAAGATTTCCAAAGGCTTTATTTGTTTCAAAAAGGAAAACAACCACAACCACGAAAACTTATCTTAATTGATTCTATGAGAGTCTGCAGTTCTGGGCTTTATGAACTGTATACTCAAGCAGGAGAGAGGCCCTTCTCAGAGGAGGCCGATTACTGGAGATAAAACCGTAAACTGTGCTTCTCAAACTTGAGCGCGCGTTCCCATCTTCTGCAGACTTGTTAAAATGCAGATTCTGAATCTGTAGGTGGAGATTCTGCATTTCTAACAAGTTCCCAGGTGATGTGGCTGGCCTATGGAACATGCTCCTCCTTGGTTTACTAAGAGTCTAAGAGAGAGACGGAAATGAAAAACTATTCTCAAACTCCTGGGCTATGCAAATTATTCAGGTTATTCACTGGGCCGCAGACATTCGCTGTCAGTGTGTTTTCAGATTTTCGTTAAAACCCGGTATTGAGTTTCTTTCCCTTTCACTTACCTGATCATCTACCCACAGCTACTAAGCTGCACCGCACAGAGCCAAGAACACAAAATAATCCTGGCCCATCACAGATGCCTCACCCTCTTTGAGATATCTGTGTTTTATTTCCTTGTCCTGAGGATAAATTCACAATGACATCACCTTTCTCCGTGCGTATGCACCTGTATGCAATCCTTGCTCCTCTTCCCTCCCAGATCAGAAAAAGCTTTGCTGCAAATCTTCTAAATCCGAAATTTCTCCCTCCACAGAAAGCTGTTTGTTCTTTTGAAAGGGCTACAAAAATAATGGGGTCATCCTGTCCCTACCCACTAGGACTCTGTTCTACGTGGTTTGAACAGGAGTGACTCAGATTTTATAGACATTGACGTGGATGATTTGGAACACACACACACTCACACACACACACACACACACACACACAACTAAACTAAAACGACTAATCTGTTGTTTATTTACTTAGAAAGGGGTGGGCTATCCAAACAGATAATGCTAAAATATTTTTTAATTGTATAAAATCATTAATAGGTACTATTTCCAGGCATAATTACATATTTTAAAAACCAAGAAGAGGTGGGTGTTTCTGAAATCTTGAGCAACAGCCGGACCCATTTTTAGTGGTTTATACACACGTAATTAGCAGTTTAATTTCCTCTGTGGCTAAGTTAGCCTTAAGATTTCATTTAATAACAAGTACAATTTTATAGCCAGCAGCAAGGTTCCTTCACCAGCTTCAGCTCAGCACTGCCCTCTGCTGTTCTCCAAGCAGTTCACCACACCCTGCGTGGTGAAAAAGCATCAGAACCCTCAATGGCAATTGGGCTGCACAGAAATTAACTTTGAGAGAAACAGAGAAATAGAATTCGTTTAAAACTCTCTCTAATGAGACTTTTCTTTTTATCTGAGGAACCAAAAACCAAAAAACTATATGAGTTCCTTTCCTTTCATTTCCCAGATGACATTCATGATTATATTAGCCTGGAAATAAGTTTCCTTTTCACGCTCCTTGGCACAATTTATGTCGCATACCTCCCTGTAAAGGATGGCCCAAAACAACTGTTGCTCAAAGTGGCACTTTTTATACCCTTTAAGTGACCAAACTAAGCATGGTCCATTTGACAGCCGGGAAGCCCAACTTTGGCTTTATAATCCATTATCTGCATTATTTTTCAATGGGGGAATAAGTTACTTCTATGCCCACAGAGCCAGTTACTGTGTGTTAACACTGAGTGTGACTCAGAACCAAGAGATGGAGACATGTCTTGAAGATTCCTGCTAATGAGGTGACCGATGACCAAGTGGTTCTGTTGCGAGTCTAACCTCCTAGGCTTCGCTTTTCATCAGGATGGGGACATTTGACAATGACATCAATCTTTCCAGTCGTATGCCATGCACAGAAATGCTATTGCTGTGTTAAGTATTCCTATTCTGTCTGAAATAGGAATCAGAAGAATTCAGTAGGATTTGGAGAAAACAAATAAATATTTCTCCTGGTAATGCAGGTAGATTGGAGGTCTGAGACACTTCAGTGCCCTGGTGCACTGAAGCCACACGAGGCTCTATCCTCACACGTACCCTATCGGCTACCACCGACAGGATTGGGCTGAGATGCTATGGATAAAGAATCCTTGTCACCAAAGCCTGTTTTTAAAAAATGTTTATTTATTCATTTTTGAGACAGAGAACATGTGAGCAGAGAGAGGGAGAGAGAATATTCCAAGCAGACTCCACACTGTCAGTGCAGAGCCCGATGTGAGGCTCAAACCCAGATCAAACCAAGAGTCAGAGGCTCAACCAACTGAACCACCCAGGGGCCCCTCCAAAGCCAATTATTTATCAGAATTTATAAAATCTGGATACTGGTTAAGACTGGGGTTCACATGTCAACCCTGATGCCTTATTAGTTGCATGGTTTAACCTCAAGCAAATTACTCTCATTCCCAAGTCTCTGTTTTCTTATCTACATATGAGAATATGACTCATGTAACATGGTTGTTATGGGGTTTAAGTCGGATACCCTGTGGAAATACACAGAATTGTGCATCTAAAGTATTCATAAATTCTGAAGTGAAGATACAATATTGTTGGTAGAGGGGTGATCAAATAGAGGTAGACAGAGAAGAGACTAATATCTCTGACAATAGCTAAGAGCCTGGGCTTGTTACATCTGGGCCTGGATATAAACCCTAGCCCCACAACGTTAGTTGACCTTGGGGAAGTTCCCTTACTTTAAACCTCAGTGCCCTCAGCTGTAAAAATGGATGGTGGTAATTCCACCTCCTACAGTTACTGTGAATGACACAAGAAGAGTCACCGCCATAGGGCCTTATTCACAGTGTTTCTTCCAGGAGTAGGTGTTAGTACAGAGCTAGGCTGGTTTGGGGGATTTTTCTCCAAATTCCAGAGTCAACATTTTGGTTGGCTTTCTGTCCTTGCATATTGGAGAGCTATACGTGATCACAATTGTTCTCTTTCAGTTCATAATAAGGTTAGGCATTTTGGGCCCAGCAAGTTAATAGTGGTAAAGAGGAAAGAGCTGCTTTGGGGAAAGGTTTAATCTGAAGATCTAGAAAGTCAGCCAGTGTCTGTCTATACAGCTGTGTTAGGCTAAAGAAGAATCTTTACAGCCAGTTTATGGATTTCATTGGATGCACAACGATGACCTTGACTATTATCACTTCATATTTTCCTCCCGTTTTAAAGGGCGATGACCCAACTAATTTATAACCCTGATTGTAGGACAACCGAGGAGGAAGTACCTGGCTGCAAGCTTCTGTCTGTCATCTGGTTCCAATGTTACTAAGGAACAATTAAGAAAACCCCCGGATGGAGATGGGGCTGCGTGATCTCCTGCATTGTCTTCTTCACATCAGTATCTTCCCAGAAGAAAATGAAAAGAAAAAAGATCAGCGTACAGACTGGGGCAGTTTTAGAAGGCCGATAAATGATGCTTTTCTTCCTTGCCTGAGTTTGGAACCGATTAAGAAGTAGATATGAGACAGACAGCTGGAGATCAAAATACTCGCTTTGTGAGTGGGAAAAGCTGGACTGGGGAACGGAGACTACATTAGCCCTGTGTCCCGGTGGGCTTCGTGGTGCTGCAGTTCTGAATGAGACAGACATACCCACCAGCCAGAGGAAGAGCTGGACCGCTGTCAAGCCCTGCTTGCATGAGGGACGGCCTGTGAGTTCTCTATCCAGACAGATAGAGGGAGCGGGAAGAGGGAGGCGTGGAGTCAGGGTTTTCCTGCAGCTTCTGCATCTGTACCCACTCAAATCATAACCCCTGCTCATGCTGGGGACACTGGGGGATGGGTATAGTGAGAGACACCAGTATTTAACCATAGGTCAGGGGTTTACACTTTTCGAGCTACGCTCCTCTTCAGTGGTCCAGGGAAGCCTCTGGTCCTCTTGCTAGAATTAGTGTTTAAATATATAAAATAAACTATGTAGACTTGAAAAGGAAATTAAGGAACTCTATTAAGACACACTTATCACGGGGCGCCTGGGTGGCTTAGTCGGTTAAGCGTCCAACTTTCGCTTAGGTCATGATCTCGCGGTTCGTGGGTTCGAGCCCCACGTCGGGCTCTGTGCTGACTGCCAGCTCAGAGCCTGGAGCCTGTTTCAGTCTGTGACTCCCTCTCTCTCTGACCCTCCCCTGCTCACACTGTCTCTCTCTCTCTCCTAGAAATAAATAAAAACATTAAAAAAAAAAAAGACACACTTATCAAAGTATTTTAAAAATTTTGAGATATAATAATATGTTTCTTTTTTAACACATTAATAATAAGATCTAGTCGCAGTCCTGGTAATTATCATAATTTCAAAGTAGCGATGAGTGTTAGTGATATTTTGAGATACCTGCCACCACAGGAATGTGATATGACAATACCTCTGATTTCTACCAGTGATGTATACTGTTAAGTGCCATTCTGGCATGTCGTCCAGTTTCATACTGGAGAGAAATGCCGTATTTTGGTTAGAGGTTAGGAAAAATAAAAACAGAATTCATCCAAGTTCATGAACACCCAGTTAAGGACACTTTAAGAACCCTTTAAGATGAGTGGTTCTCCAAATTGAGTGTGCCACAGAATTACCCAGAGAGCTTGCTGACATGCAGATTGTTAGGCCCCACTCACAGAGGTTCTAAGTTAGCAGATCTGGGGTGGGGCCTGAATGTTTGCATTTCTTACATGTCCCAATGACAATGATGACGCCAGTCTAGAAACCCCACTTTGACAACAGGGGTCTAGATGAAGGCCTTCCAACAGAAACATTTAGAATGGAGAATACGTTCTCCCTGTTTGAAACTGTCAAACCCTTACACCCTACAGTTTCCCACCTGGTTTTCAGAGATGGTATGTAGAATCCAGAGAGATACTGGTACCATTAGTGTCACACGATTTCTATTTTAAGAGCTGGCTCAAATATCACCTCTTCCGCAAAGCTTGTCCTAAGAACCCCATGCCAAAGGGACCCTATCTACCACTAAACTCCCCTCAACTGTAGCTTTTATCCTGTACCAGACCCTTGGGAATATGTTATATTGCCTGGCTCATCCTCCCTTGATTTATCCAAGTAGTTTTTCCCCCCTTTCCTCTAACCAGATTTTGTGCTTTGTAGAGAATTAGTCCCTGTACTAACATCAACACTGTCCACTCTGCTATATGCATGGATGCCTTTGGGATGTACCTATTGGTTATGACATCTTGTGAACCTGCAGTTAGGTTCGACCAGTCAATCACACTGTGGGATAAGTTTTGCTAATGCAACAACAACAAAAAGTAGAGCTCAATCTTGTTGAGGTGTTTATGCTGCAAGTGGCACAAAGCTTAATCCAAACTGACTTAACTTTAATGACTTAATGGTCAAGAAAATGAATGATGTCTGGAATGGCCTGATGCTGAGATTCCTGTTGCCATCAGGCCCCTGTTTCCCTGTGCTTCATTTTTAACTATATTCCCTTCTTTATGCATTCAGATTAGGCTGGAATACCATTACGGTAAGAGAAATGGCTCAAGAACTAACATATCGGAGTGCCTGGGTGACTCAGTCGGTTAAGTGTCTGACTTCGGCTCAGGTCATGATCTCACAGTCTGTAGGTTCGAGCCCTGCATCAGGCTCTGTGCTGATAGCTCAGAGCCAGGAGCCTGCTTCAGATTCTGTGTCTCCCTTTCTCTCTGCCCCTCCCCCACTCGCTCTCTGTTTCTGTCTCTCAAAATAAAATAAAGACATTAAAAAAATTTTTTTAATAAAAAAAAAGAATTAATATACCATCCCAAGAGAGAATGGCAGCCTCTTCTTCTCTTCTTCTAGCTCTACCTAAAGTACATGGAAAATTCTTGGGGTGCCTGGGTGGCTTGGTCAGTTAAGCATTTGACTTCAGCTCAGGTCATGATCTCATAGTTCATGAGTTCGAGACCCATGTTGGGCTCTGTGCTGACAGCTCAGAGCCTGGAGCCTGCTATAGAGTCTGTCTCCCTCACTCTCTCTGCCTCTCCCCTGCTTGCACTCTCTTTCTCTGACTCTTAAAAATAACTAAAGATTAAAAATTTTTTTTTAAATAATGTGGAAATTTCTCTCCCAGAGACCACTGATGAATACCTCTTCATATCTCATTTGTGTAAATTGGGCCACATCCTCACGAGTAAAAATATCAGCCAGGATCAAGGGAATCATTTTGTCATCTAACTCTTCTCTTCTTCTATGAATGGTGAGGGGGCAATGCCAAAATGAAATCAGCCTTTTGTTACCAAGGAAAAGGGAAGAATGAATGGATTTTGGAAAGTCAAAAATAGCAAATATCCTCTACAATAGCTTTCTAGTTCCTAGTTCTAGCTCATATTTTAAGCTGACAATTCATAGAAGAGTTAAAAGGTCCCAAATGAAAGTACATTTTATCAAACCCCTTGTTTCAGACAGGTATGAACCTAAACTATAAAAAGTGCATAGTCCCCAGGAGTGAAGACTTGCTTGTGGCAGTCAGAAGACCCAGGACTGAGAATATATTTAGCCATAAGTAGCTGAGGGACTCTGTATAGAAATCCATCACTTCATGCCAGAGTCTCTTTAGCTTTCAAGTAAACAAATGGCAATGGAGGATGTCTAAGGTTAGCTTATATTAAGGGTCTTATGGATCTAATGTATAGCGTGAGTATGTGTGTCTAGGTGTGATGTATGGGGTGTTGTGTGTATGAGTATATCTGTATGTGTGTATATTGGGTGGGTGGGGGGCTCTTGAGTTTTTCCCTATTACTGGAATTTGTACCAATTTTTATTCTTGCACCTATGAGGAGCCATAGGTGCTTAGCCAAGGCACATGTTTAAGGAGTTCGTCGTTGCTGTTGTCAGTTTCCTGAATTGCATCTTATCCTACATTTGGAGATATATTCTTCCCCTCTTCACAGTTCTTTGGCTCTCGTCTTCTTTATAATAGCCCTTTCCCCATCTAGGTACTGAGATGAGTCTGAAAATGACTCACACTAAAGTGGATTAGCCACCATTAGCAGTGTCAACTTTCCCAAGGCTATAAGAAAACAATAACTCAAAAGACTGAAATTTCACGTGGCACAACAGAAACAACACAGATTCTGAAGCTTACAAACCTGGCTTCAAGTACTGTCTCCACTACTGATGAACTGTGCGACTCTGAGTAAGTGACTTGGCCTCTCTGAGCCCCAGTTCCTTCATTGCACAATGATGTGATTGTGCCTCCATGCAAGGTTCTTTAGGAAGTCATATATGATAGGCTATGCAGAGTGTTTGGCTCATAGAAGTGACTCAATCCAGGGCACCTGGGTGGCTCAGTCCGTTAAGCGTCCAACTTCGGCTCAGGTCATGATCTCACAGTTTGTGGGTTTGAGCCCCGCATCTGAGCTCTAGCTCAGAGCCTAGAGCATGGTTCAGATTCTGTGTCTCCCTCTCTCTCTGACCCTCCCCTGCTCACACTGTCTCTCTCTCTCTCTCTCTCTCAGAAATAAATAAAACATTAAAAAAAAAAAGAAGTGATTCAATCCAATTCACTTCCCTTCTCTAATGGTGGAAATTCAGGTATCAGTTAGCAGTTGGGGATGATACTTTCTAGGATGACTCTTCTTGTGAGCCCCCTTAGAATCATTCCAAGGAGGTTACTTAACATATGTACACATTGAGCTAATCCTACATTCAGTATCCAATCCTATTCTGTGTCTAGAATCTTACTCTTCTTCTTATATATATATATATATGAAGGAGAAGGAACATTTTTTTCTTAAAGAACTAATTTTCCCCCCATACACAAGTGCTATCCAGTAATTCAAACAGAGTTATCTCAAATATTTTAAGCCTATTTTAAATTTTGACATAAAGCCTTATTAAGGTGGTAGAAAAAGAGGTTTCTGGTTTTGGTGTGGAAATTCAGCTAACTTCACACACCCACGTGCATAATGAACTCAACTGTTTACTTCCTCGGGTGGCCTCATCTGCTTCTCTCCATCTTGTATCTTTCTTCATGTTGTAAGCCCCTACACTTTACTATTTACAACACTTTTAAGGAGGAAGAACATTTCCCTTGCTATCATCAATTTGAAATTGCCTTAGCGACTCCAAATGAAGAAGCAAAGCTTAGCACTCTCTCCAATGGCTACTAGCAAAGATGTTAACTAGATTGACTACAGTGGAAATCCTCTGATTTTTTTTTTTCCTTTTAGTTTGGTCCCCTGTAACCCTCTTTTTTGAGTACCATCCTGGAGCTGGCCTATATCTCTTTGACTTGTTAATAAGAATGTCATGTAAAATGAAATCAGAATCGAAACCCTAGCTGAAACCCAGGTAGATTACAACTATTGTTTTCTCTCATCACCCTGGGGTGTCACTGTAATACAGAAGGAAATGAGATTGGTTTGGACAATCTGATCTTCCCTGAGTTGTTGTGGTTGCAACTCAGGATCTTGTTTTCTCCTAGAAGCTTGCAAATTGATAGTTTGATTATTTCTTCAAGTACCTTTCCAGGTCTCCAAGCAAGATACAGAGCTTGGAGTCACCAAGGATAATTCTTTTTCTCTTCATTAAATTTTGGCAACTCATTTGTATTTGCCAGGCCTCAGAGTTTTATCTCTGTACTCTACTTTTTTTTTTTTTTTTTTTTTTTTTTAATAACAAGGTGGAAAACTCCTATATCCTCAGCTGCTCATTGTCCTGGATGCAAAAATACCAAACAGTTACAAGTTATGTCAGCGGTACCTTTCAAATGGCTTTCAAAGTGTTTTGCACCTTGTCTTTCTAATTTTAATGTCTTAGCTTAGGCCTTTGCTGCCTCTCACCACTATGTTTTATAGCCAATAGTCAATCTACCTCCCATAAAATTTCCATCAATTCAGTCCATTCTCCACACGTCGGACAAAACCCAAAAAGAAACAAACAAAATCTCCAAACCAAAACACCAAACATCAAAAACCCAACAAGAACAGGAAGGAACAAAACCTAGTCACATCATGATCATGTTGATAGGTTTCCATTTTCTCCTCAGGGCTGTAGCACAAGGCGCAAATTTCCTTGTGTCTCAGATAATACCCTTTCAACATCTAATTCTGTGGTTTCATCTTCTACCATCTTTCCCAGCACTGTATATTTGAGTCAGGCTGATTTTCTTCCGAGTCACTAGATATGACTAATACCACAGATATTTTTTCAAGGTTCCCAAAGAAAGGTGGGGGCTGTTCTGTTTACCTATTCCTGCATAACTTCTTCAATACCTGTGGACACCATGATAACTGATCAGAGGATGCATAACTCAAGCAACATAACTTATGTTATCAAGTCCAACTCAATGAATATATTGATTCAGTTCTTTCAGGCATACTCAAGTAGAGTGGGCTTGGTTAAAGATTGACTCTCTCTCTCCAAAACTGTACGATTATTTGATTCACTTTGACTTGGCAGGCTTGGGAGACTGTGGGGAAGGAGGGAGAAGGTGGTTGCCTGGTTAAGTGGGAAGGTATAACATAAACTTTGCTGGCTTCACAATTGGTCTTCATATCTCAGGACTCAGGAGTCACCATTTTGATCTATAGAAAGTGACATTTAATGAAGAAAAATCCAGGTAAGTGAGTGAGAATTGGGTCAAAGGTGGCTTTTGTTTTTTCCTTTCTATCCACTGGTTTAGGAGAGCCAGACTGAGATCTGCTGTGGATGCAAGAGCGTGAGCCGATCCAATGTGGCCACCACCAGGATAAACTCACTTTTGCTGTAGACTGCTAGACGGCTGTGGTCAGCTCACCATAAAGAGAGATCATGCCACAAGTTGACTCCACATGTTCTAACCACTGAACAATTCTGGCTTCCACAAACACAGATAGAAATTAATACCAATATAGTTGGCATTAAAGCAGGTTAGCCCTATTATTTAATGATTGCATGGCCTTGATTTACATTATCTCATTAATCCTTGCAGATTTAAACATGGCTCTTTCTAGTCTGGGTACGTTAAAGGCACAGGTTGTTGTGAAGGTGATAAAAATGGAATCCCTTTTGTGGGGGGTGGAAGAGAGCTTTGTAGATTTCCATGGGCCAACTCTTCCTTGACCCTCATCATTGACCATCTCTCAGAGGCCAAGTGAGGAGAAGTCCTTTGCTTTTTTTTCTCCCTGACTTCTATGTAAACAGACAACTTAGCAGCAAGCATGTTGGAAAGGGAATGCACAGTGGGCTGTGAACCCAACAAAATGGGCTTTGGGCTTCTTTGCCTGAAGTTTAGTCCCTCTTACTCCGTTCTCCTTAGAGACAGCTCATAACTGCTTTTTATTCTCTGTGTGATCCCACGGGCTATACTTGAAGACCTTTGTTCAACTACCCTCAGCTTTTCCTGACTGCCTAATTAACCCTCTTTTGAGTCTTTTCTCATGGGTTCTAGCCCAACCTTTTAGTTACTGTACTTTGCACCACTTCCCTGGATCCTCTCCAAGTAGCTCAGGCACAAGATGGTTCACAAAACAAGGGCTTCCCCCAAGGGCCACAGGCAGCCTGACATCTCAGTGAGAAAGGAAAAGAAAAACGAAACAAAACAAAACAAGAGAAAGCAAACAAAGGCACACAGGCTGCCATTCAGGGCAACAGCTTCCTGGTGAGGACCTGATCCCTCATGACACTCCCTTGGCATGGCTTTGCTATTAGGGAGACTGGGATTTTGTCCAAAGCTCTCTCCAGGTGAAAAAGCAAGCCCTGCTTCAGGCTGAGGAGGCACCATTAAGTCATTTTCTTATTGCCTTTCAGACCAGATTTGAACTATAAATAAACCAAGTGCCTAGGAGTAGCCACAATGCTTGCTGTAAGGTTATTTGCATCCCTGTCTCTATCTGAATTCCCCTTGCCAACTCTTACTTTTAGAAACCCCATAAGGTTGGCAGGTCCACCACTCCCGCTGCCAATGTCAGTGCATTAGCACTTAGCTTAAGTGAGCACATATGCCAGGCAGGCTCACGGCTTCCTCCCCCCCTCTTCCTAATGGAAACACTTCAGATAAAGAATGACACCACTAATATATTGCATATACTTATTGTATTGATCTTACTTTAGATTACCAGCCCTTAAAAATACTGACTGTATTAGCTAAGATGTAGAGAGACCAGAACAGGCATACAATGATGACATAACAACAAATGATAACAAAGACAATAATGATGAAATGATGCTAATGAGAGTAGCCATGGTAGTGACCATGGTAGCAATAACAATCGAGCGTTTACTGAGTGCCCACTGCTGGTCAGGCATCAGGGCAGTGTATTTGCACTATACATTGTGTGTGTGTTTTCTATCTTCACAATAACCCCAAGAGTGTTTTCTAATCTTTAGATGGAGAAAGGGAGGTCTGGGGCAGTGAAATGTTTCATCCAAAGGCCTATGGTGGACAAGCAGAACAGCAATACCGATGTCACATGGACCTCTAGTTCTGCCAAGTTACTTCTATGTTTAACTTCATGTGATGGGCAAACCAAAAGAGTTTAATTTTTTTTTTATTATTATTCACTTCTGAGAGAGAGACAGCATGAGCAGGGGAGGGTCAGAGAGAGAGGGAGACACAGAATCTGAAGACAGGCTCCAGGCTCTGAGCTAGCTGTCAGCACAGAGCCCGACGCGGGGCTCGAACCCACAAACTGTGAGATCATGACCTGAGCCGAAGTTGGACGCTTAACCGACGGAGCCACCCAGGCGCCCCAAGAGTTTAATTTTTAAATCCATTCAAAAAATGTTAAGTCAGTCTTATATTTCACTAGAAAGCCATGGAGACAATAAATTTCCAAGCGTGAGTCAGCATACCGATGCTAAGGCCACTTTCGGGAGATTAAGGTGGGTTTGTTTGTTTGTTTGTTTTTCACATAACAGGCTACAAATAGAACATTTAATGTTCTCACGGCTCCACTGTCAAAGGTATTTACTCTCCACTCGTCTGTTTTCTTGTATGCTCTGGAGGTGTTACTGGTCATATAAAGGATGCGAGTTTCCAAAGGCTCACAGGAGTTTAAAACTCCATTTCCTCTTCATAACTTTTTTTTTCACTTTGGAAAAAAAATGAGTTAGTTTCTTAGTTTCTTTAACTTCATGGAACTGGAGAATGTGTTTTTGTGTGGTGAAACCAAAAGAGAAAAAAAGCTTGTAAACATGTATATGATCTGTGTGAACTTGAAAAAAAGTATCATCTATCTCTTTTCCTATAGGTGCAATGAACCTGAATATAAAAGTAGGCTATTAACTTAGTTACCTATCCAAGATTTCTAATCAGTATACTATCCATTGGGCCATTTTGTATTTTGTCACCTTGGCTTACCAGCAAAATATTAGACCTGCTTATCTCTAAGTTTTGATAAGATACCCAGCTTCTAGAAAGATCAGGAAACCTAAACAGTATAATATCTAAAGAAGGGATGGAAAAGAGATTCTCTAAATGTCTTATAAAAATAAGACTGTTGAGGGGCGTCTGGGAGGCTCAATCAGTTAAGTGTCTGACAACGGGTCAGGTCATGATCTCACAGTCTGTGAGTTCTAGCCCCATGATGGGCTCTGTGCTAATAGCTCAGAGCCTGGAGCCTGCTTTGTATTCAGTGTCTCCCTCTCTCTCTGCCCCTCCCCTGTACATGCTCGCTCTCTGTCTCTCTCTCTCTCTTTCTCTCTCTCTCAAAACAATAAATAAAAATTAAAAAAATTTGGGGCTCTTGGGTGGCTCAGTCAGTTGGGTGTCCGACTTTGGTTCAGGTCATGATCTCACAATTTGTGGGTTCAGCTTCGGTTCAGGTCATGATCTCACTGTTCGTGGGTTCAAGCCCCGCGTCGGGCTCTGTGCTGACAGCTAGTTCTGAGCCTGGAGCCTGCTTTGTATTCTGTGTCTCCCTCTCTCTCTGACTCTCCGCTGCTCACACTGTCTCTGTCTCTCTGTCTGTCTGTTTCTCCCTCAGAAATAAATAAAACATTAAAAAAAATTTTTTTTAAATATAAGACTGTTGACCATGAGATCACTCATTTGATTTTGTGACTAGAAATATCAATGTTTTATATCTAACACTTTGGTTTAGTAAAGGAATAACTAAGATTTGTTAAACACTTTGATTTATTGCTTAGTACACTCCAGGCATTCTAAATACTGGACACATACTTGCTTCTATTGAATCCTGACAACAACCCTTTGAATAAGTCTATCATCATCCCCTATTTTATATATAATGAAACTGAGTCACAGAGGAGTCAAATCACTCACTCACCCGAAGTTACACTGGTTGAGAAAAGGTCAAGCTGAGATGTGAACACAGGTAATTAGAGTGTGAGTTCAGATTATCAGATAGGTCTCAGGTCTAGGGAAGGGCAGGTGTTGTGTGAACTCCATATTCCTCCTCCTGTGTCAGAAGGGTGTGTGGTCCCAGGGCACCCCGAATCCACAGCCCTAGGCCCTCTGCTCCATGAAAATTTCATCACCATCCTCTCCTGGGATCATGTGCCTGGCCTATTGGGCAGAGCCATTCTAATCCAACTAGGAATTCTGGATGATGGGACATCTCTGAGATCTCTGAGATTCACAGTTTTCTTAAATCTCCTTTCAATACATTGCAATGGGATTAAAGATCACTGATTACTTAAGCCTGATTGAGAGGAAACTGAATCCTCAGTTTGCATATGCTGGCAATGGACTGCCCGGAAGCCCCAGGCAGTTTTTCTTGGAAGAACTGGCCATCCTTAATGCTCTTTTTCGTTTATATAGTCACACTAGACAGTGACAAATCCTGGTGGTGAGTAGTACCCTTTAAATCTGAGATGACATGATCCTAACACATTAACTTCCCTCCCCCCAAGCCATGTGCTCTTTGCTTCAAGTCACCAGCAACAACCATTTCTAAAAAGAGTTCCTTTCTCCCACTAATCAAAAAGAAACCTTTTCTGGTGGCCTTCTGAGTATTCTAGCCTTTGAGAACAATTTTCTTAACATCCTTCTTGAAGCTTTTGGACACTATTTCCTTTAAACGGCTATCTAACAGGGATGGACCTATGCCACTATTGAATAAGGAAGACTTACCCATAAATAGCACACTCACACCAAAACACAGTACAGTCAGGACCTGAGAAGAAATTATAAGATGGCTTAACCAGTGTGTGGTGCCTTGACAGCAATGGATGAAAAGGGCCAGGGAAGCACAGATCATCATTTATAATTTAGCAGTATTATTTTATTATGATCACCTCTGCTCTCCTAGATTTGTCTCACATCCTCCTTGGCATTTTAAATAAAAAGATGCTTTCTTCCAGTTCTCCCTCTGTTTTAACCAGGTCATGTTATGTTTTGTCACATTCAGTCATGTTTGATGTGACATGACATGGGGTGCTATGTAACTCAACCCAATCAATAGAGGAATCAGGAACAGTCCTGGTGGATCTTTGATACAAAGCTGGGGTCTAGGGTTGCTGACTGCATTTTGAACATCTCACAGCTCTTTTGGTAACCAGGACGGACAGAGGTATGAGTATCCTCACAAAATGTGACAATGGCCTATTTGCTGTTTGCATTTTCTCTTCTACTGATTACCTAGTTAGGGAACCTATGGATGAAATGTGGATGAAATTTTTTTTTTTTAGTTGGATATTTTCTAACTAGGAAAGTAGTCTACTGTCCATCTAGGACTGGCTACATAATTCATGAGGTCCAGAGTAAAATAAAAATGTGTGGCCCCCTGTTAAAAATGAAGAGTTTCAATTTCAAGATGGCGACATCAGAGCATTTAATCAAGTGCGGAGCCCTTCTGAGCACCAGACCCTGTGTGACACGGGGTACATGCCTCACACACATAGAAGGCTCTTGGTCTTGGGATCATGTGCAGGGGTCTTCCTGTCCTTAGAAAGTGTACTCTGCATGACGGTGCA